TAGTTGCTAAGAATGTTGAGGAGGGATACTCTAGTTTTGATCAATCGTCGAAACACGCGCTCGATTGTTCGTTCCAAATCTCGAGTGCCTAGCTCCAACTTTTCAAGATGGTTTTGGACATTCTCAAACGCTTCAGTAGTGTCCTTGCCTTTGCTTGGCTTTTGGCATGTAACAGAGTTCAATGCATTGTCCATATTGGAAAATTCATTGAGTTCTGCCTCTACTTCAGGACACACTTCTCTCTTGCTATGCATTACACTAAGAATTGACCAACTAGACTTTGTCTTTGTTTTCTTCCCTGAGATAAGCAAAAGTAAGGACTCAAAAACTCTAAGACTAATTGCTTCCACCTCTTCCAACAAGCTAACCATGGCTACAACGTTGTTGTCACTACCGACCGTCGTGTTCCTTTTCGTGTCGATGCTCCGATTAGTATTAAGAGCCTTTTGGATTGCTCTCTTTACAACTTTTCTAGAGGCCAAGTATTTCTTGATCTCATTTGTCGTCTCGGATCTTCGTCGAATCGCCGAGTTAAGCTCACGAACACATTCTTTTGTGTGGATCAAAGCATCCTTAGCTGAGCTGCACATGTCAAGCAGCCTAAGAGATCCATCCAACAACTCATCAAACCATTTCTCTCCACATTGTCTAACAAAAGCTTCTTGAATGGAGGGTAGCAAGAGTAACTTTTCGACGCATTCGTGCAAATCCTCTAGGCCACAAAGCTGTTGGCTTATGGACGACGACGACGACGAAGAATCAAAGTCTCTTAGTCTAGTCAAGTGCTCATCACATTGTGAAATGAGAGGGTGTGGTCTTGATGGCAAGCTGTTTGAGCGTGTATGGTATTTGGTTTGCTTGCTTGAAGGAAAGCCAGCCATGTTTCTATCTCAAAAAGAGAAGATGAAAGGAGATAAGAACAAGATATCATGAATGAGATTTGGATCTAAACCACCATGAACAAGCTAACCACTGGGATTTTGGTTAATTATTACACATGATTCTCTTAGAAACATAAACTAAGGCAGCCTGGTCTGCCTCCATGGAGACAAGAAGGTTGTTTTACACATGAACACATGAGGGAAGATTGAGAATTCATCTTCCTTCTCTTTATCAAAGTGGTTATGTGCAATTAATGATATCTCAGCATTGTTCTTGCCATGTCTCCCACCACTATGTCAATAGCTTCTTTATATCTTCAATATCCTTTTGAGTATTCCGCAAAATCTGCCATGCACGAGCGGTGTTGAAAGAGCTGCCCTTTTTTTTAGTATCAAATGGAAAACAATGACTTGCTTGCATTGTTCATCTTAATTATATGTGCACATGCTCTTTTTTTTCTCTCTCTCGGGTAGGTGTGAGGTCTCACATCGGATGGAGAGGGGAACAAAACATTGCTTATAAGGGTGTGGAAACCTCTTCCTAGGAGATGCATTTTAAAATCGTCGTAAGGCTGACGACGATACATAACGGGCTAAGGTGACAATATCTGTTAGTAATGGGCTTTGGCTATTACAAATGGTATTAGAGGTCTGACACCGGGTAGTGTACCAGCGAGGACGCTGGACCTTGAGAGGGGTGGATTTTGAGGTCTCACATCGGTTGGAGAGAGAAATAAAGTATTCCTTATAAGGGTGTGGAAACCTCACCCTAGTAGACACATTTTAAAACCGTGAGGTTGACGGTAATACGTAACAGGCCAAAGCTATAACGGCCTAAGCCCACCACTAGCAGATATTGTCCTCTTCGGGCTTTCCCTTATGGTTTTTAAAACGCGTCAACTAGGAAGAAGTTTCCATAACCTTATAAAGAATGTTTCGTTCTCCTCCCCAACCGATGTGGGATCTCACAATCCACCCTCCTTTGGGGCCAGCGTCCTCGCTGACACTCGTTCCCTTCTCCAACCAGTGTGGGACCCCCCAATCCACTCTCCTTCAGGGCCCAGTGTCCTTGCTAGCACACCGCCTTGTGTCCATCCCCTTCGAGGCTCACCCTCCTCGCTAGCACATCGCTCGATGTCTGACTTTGATACCATTTGTAACAGCCTAAGTACACCGCTAGCAGATATTGTCTTCTTTGGGCTTTTCCTTTTGGGCTTCCCCTCAAGATTTTTAAAACCTGTCTACTAGGGAGAGGTTTCCACACCCTTATAAAAAAGTTTCATTCTCTTCTCCAACCGATGTGAAATCTTACTGACAATATCTCGGGTGGGCTTCTGATTCCTCAAGCAGCGTATGAATATCAATTCAACTGTCATTATATATATATTGAAATTAGGTTCAAGATCAAATGAGCCCAAGATCAATTTGACTCAAAGCCCAAATCCAATTAATCAAGCTTAAAACCAAAAATTCAAGCCCCAACCCATCAAAGCTCAAGCCTATAATATGCCATGGATCTACTCCATTTTCAAATTAAGAACCCAAAGATATTCAATAGCACTTGGAAGACATCTAGAAAGTCATAACACTTCTTGAACGGACTCTGAAACTTTTGAAGATCAAAGACTCTTCCAAGACCAATGATGCTTTGAACATTAGAAGACTTTAAGATCTGCATACTTTGAAGATTAGAATGCTTTAAAGATGGAATTTTTGTTTGAATACCCGTAGACTTTGAAGACAAGTTAAATATTCAACTTCAAGACCAAGAGAAAGAATCTGATATCCTCTATTTTGAGCTTAAGACAGCATGGTCTTGTTTATAGATTCAACCCAAACACACCAAGACCACGGATTTCACAACCTTGGCTAGCCATGACTGCTGTGCTATACCTCTATTACAGTCAGCTGCTGCTCCAAATCAATGGTGAATGGCCAACCCAAGTTCATACAGACATCCCTTCATTTGCACTGAAATTACCCTTGCCTTATAGCTAGCTACAAACATCCAACACCCTCAGCTATCTACCCAACTGCTGGCTCACCGAGCACAGGAGGCTTGCTTTGGAGATGGTTTACATTGAACTTGAGATGACATAAGGACCTAATTTTTACCTATCTCGTTACTTGGGACCCTATTCATCTCTTAAACCTGGAGGAGGGGCAGATCCTTTTCTGACCCATTTCTTGGGGCTTACTTTCTAGCCCCAGTGGGAGTACTGACTAACGTTATAGGTCGTTAGGCGGCCGGAAGGTTGCCACGAGTAAGTCCGTTGGGAAGACCGAAGACAATTCTCTGTGCACCGAGCTTGGCCTGTTTGCATTATACCTACTCCAAAAGAACTCTGTGTGTTTCTCCCCTCTGTATCTGCTTAATATATACAGCAACCAAGGGAGACAATTTGGAACTTCACCAGCTTCAACTTTTTAGGAATCAGTACACGTTTAGCCCTTTTCCTTTGGGACATATAGACACTGATGTGGCAATGTTTCCTCTCTACCAAGCTTACAACTCACGTTTAAATTAAAATAAATCCCTTCAGATCTGTTTATAGCATAAAAAATTTAACTTTTTCTGCTACTATGGATACAAGAAGGTTGCTTCACATATGCATATTGGTGATAAGCTTGAAAATGCATCTTCTTTTGTCTTACATATTAAACTGGTTATGTGCCATTGCAGCTCATTGTTCATTAGTTTAATCCTACACGATTGGTTACAACCTATTTAACTTCATTATTATATGCAAAATCGAATCAAACTGTCCCTTAGTTGAAAGACATCCTACATAACATTACAATAAACTTAATCACAGGCTTCTTTGTGGTTCTTGTGCCTATCAACATTGTTGAGACATATGGAATCTTTGATAGCATGGCTAATTTGAATACTTAGCTTTATCAGGTAACTTTGGTTTACTAGTTGCCAGAGTTTAAGCCAATATGGTGAGATTGGATGATGGGTTAGTTTTTGTTTTTCTACCCTCCTTTGTTCAAGGCGAGCATGGTGTATGTTTAGATGATGGGCCTTTCCATATGATTAATCATGTAAGAGCATGTAAGAGCTTAAGCCTACCGCTAGTAGATGTTGTCCGCTTTGATCCGTTACGTGTTGCCGTTAATCCTACGGTTTTAAAATGCGTCTACTAGGAAGAGATTTTCACATCCTTATAAGGAATACTTCGTTCCCCGCTTCAACTGATGTGGGACCTCACAATCCACCCCTCTCGAGGCTCAACGTCTTCGCTAACACATTGGCTGGTGTCTGGCTCTAATAACATTTGTGACAACCCAAACCCACCGCTAGTAGATATTATTCGCTTTGGCCCCGTATTGCCGTCAGCTTCACGATTTTAAAACACGTAAGCTAGAGAGAGGTTTCCACACCCTTACAAGGAGTGCTTTGTTCCCCTCTCCAACCGATGTGGGATCTCACAATCCACCCCCTAAGGGGGTCCAGCGTCCTCGTTAGCACACCTTCCAGTGTTTGGCTCTGATCCATTTCTAATCGCCCAAGCCCACCACTAGTAGATATTGTCCGCTTTGGCCCCATGTCGCCGTCGGCATCACGGTTTTAAAACGCGTCTGTCAGCGAGAGGTTTCCACACCCTTACAAGAAATGCTTCGTTCCCCTCTCCAACTGACGTGGGATCTCACAAATCATCGTGATTTTTACGATCTCTACCAAATCTCCAACTCATAACCTATTCAGATCTGTTTATATCATAAAGGATCTGCTTCACACTTGTTAAAGCTAAACACGTTCAGATCAGCTAGTTGTTGATTACTTAAATCCCACGTGAAGATACAACTTGATTAGCCTTATTATTATACATATAATTATATCAAACTGTCTCTAAGATGATAGGCAACCTGCCTACCCCTACATGAAAGTTAATCACAGGCTTCCATGTGATTCTTATGCTTATCACCAATCGTTGAGAGTTGAGACAACTCGAATATTTGATAGGAATGCCAATTTGAATTCGAACATGCCGCGTTTTACTGAGAAGGATCGAACCATGGGAACGAATCTACATGGCTATCATACGAGAGTTTAAGCCAAAAGGGAAAAGACATTCATAATTGCCAAAAAGTTATAGAAAGGTATCTATATTTGTATTAAACATGTATTGTGATGTTTACATCTACAAAAATGAACTTTGGTGAAGTTGGCTATTAGTGATTTAGGATGTTAAGAAAGGAGACTCTATTCTTGATAAGACGCCTAAATAATCGCTCGAGATCTTCTTCAAGATCATGAATACTCGACTCGAAGTTTCTCAGCATGTTTTGCAAATCTTCAACTTGAACAAGGAAATCAGATTTCCTGGTGATTGAATACAATGCAGCATCCACCATTTGTACTTCATTCCCATTTGAGTCTTCATCTTTGGTAGCCACTTTCTTGGCTTGAATCAACTTGGAAACCAGAGACCATCTGCTCATCTTTGATGGCACCTTTGGTCCTGCTACAAATGATAGCAAGGACTCAAGGCTGTTACATGTGACAGCTTCTGCCTCTTTTAACAAGCTAACAATTTCTAAACTTTTATCACTTTTTTGGAAACTTAGCCTTTCAATTCCCTTCAAGGCCTTGTGGATTGCCTTCTTTATCATCTTCCTTGAGTTCAAATACTTCTGAACATCACCAACGATGTCGTCTCCTCGTCTTCTACGCAAAGTCGACTCGAGTTCATGTGTGCTTTCTTTTGTTTGCATCAATGCATCCTTAGCCATAGCACACAAGTCCAAGAGCTTGAGAGATCCTTCTAGCAACTCATCAACTGATTTGTTGTCAACAATAGCTTGATGGGTGAGTGGCAAAATAAGCAACTTATCAATGCAATCATGCAAATCTTGAAGACCATCAAGTTTTTGACACAAAGAAGAGGAAGAAGTGGCTTCAGAGGCCTTTAATCTGCAGAGATGTTCATCAACCTCATCCACAACTGGATGTGGCTTTGAGGGCAAACTGTTTGAACGGATGTGGAATGATTTCTTTTGGTTTGCAGCAAAGGAATCCATATTGTTTTACAAAAGCTGAAGCTTATGAACTACAAAAGAGGTAGAGCAGTTTCATCTTTTGGCCTTCATGGAGGCATATTTATATAACTTTGGCTGAGGTAGACATGAGGAATCTTATTATGAGATACAACCTAATAAATTTATTATTATTGTATATGATTAAATCAAATTGTCGCTTAGATAAAAGACAACCTGCATGACAAGCTTCCATGTGATTCTTGTGCCTATCACCATTGCTGAGACAATTGGAATCTTTGACAGCAATGCTGATTTCAATGCTTTGCTTCATCAGGTAACCTTGGTTAACTAATTGAACTCTAGTTAACAAAACTTGGTTTAAGGCTTTAAGCCTAGTGGGGAAAATCACATTGGAAGAGACAAACACATTTTAGTACAAGAAATGTCTGATACGAAGGGAAAAAGTACATGTCAATTACCGTTGAGCCTCATGTTAGTCTTTTTTTCCCCTTCTTGTGAGATCCCACATCGGTTGGAGAGGGAAATGCGTTCTTTATAAGGGTGGGGGAATCTCTCCCTAACAGACGCGTTTTAAAACTGTGAGGCTGACGATGATACGTAACGGGTGAAAGCGGACAATATTTGATAATAATTGTTGGGAGAGAGTCCCACGTTGACTAATTTAGGGAATGATCATGGATTTATAAGTAAGGAATATATCTTCATTGGAATGAGACCTTCTGGAGAAGCCCAAAGCAAAGCTATTGGAGGGCCCTGTGGCCTAAGTGAGTTACCCTGTGGCACATACGTGTGTCACAGTGTGGGCGAGCGTGCCGAGACGAGTGTCTCGGGCGACTTCTTTTGAAATAGGTTTTTGAAGGACAGTACCGGACGGCACGAGTGTGCCGGTATTGCGCCCTAGCCCGCGTGTTGGAGGTTGCTATATACACCCACTATCCGGTACGGTATCCGTAAATGACTCGGCATCGACACGGGAGGGCCTATGCCTCGATAGGACCCGGATGGATGGATGTTCGGGAAGTCCTGATGAGATGAACGACACGCGGGCCCATTCTCGATGGCATGACCAAACGAGTTATGATGGTTGACGACATTCCGAGACTCGGGATGGCATCAAGACATATGGACCCTGTCGATGGGGATCGAGATGACAAGATGAGATGCGACGTTGCATTGAGAGACCTTGGCCCGAGCAGAGGCAAGGTCGAGCCGAATGACTTGGCCTAGTGTAGAGGCAAGCCGGATGTGTCACAGACGATTGAACATGCACGCGCAGGCAGCGTGTGTGGTCGAACAAGCTTGGATTCTGCACAAGCGATGTTCGATTGGCGAAGACAAACCTCGCCTAAGGTCCGACGAAGCCACAAAGCTGGGGCGAAAAATATATATGAGGCTTAATTCCCCTAAGGCTAGTCGTGAGTGTGTCAAGATCAAGACACCGCACGGTCAGAAATGTAGGACCATGACAGGGACAATATTGTATCATTATGGAGAGTCGTGATTCCTAACAATATCTACTAGCAGTGGGCTTGGGCTGTTACACTTCATTTTCTTGAACAGTTTGCAATCCCAACGGTTAAAACAAATAACGTGTAGAGTTAAAAGACCGAAATGGTGAGATGGATGATTGGAAGTCTTTACTTTGGACTAAGTCTACGATACAAGTCAAAACGTCTCGTACCAATGGAGTTAGTATCCTTACACACTAAGGATCATCCTCACTTCTATTTCACATAAGACTATGTTCACATTCCTAACAATATCAACAATACTAATAGTGCAAGAAGTTAGCTAGAGAAGAAGATGATATGGAGTTCACAATCTTGGTTGAAATGTATTTGTATATATATCTATGTATTGTGGTGTTTACATTTGACAAAAATGGATCCATTGGAATGGACTATGCAACTATTTCCTAAGCTTTCATCCTTAGTAATTTAGGATGTTAAGAAAAGCGACTCTGTTCTTGATAAGACGTCGATATAGACTCTCGAGATCTTCTTCGATGTCATGAATACACGACTCGAATTTCCTCATTGAGCTCTGCAAATCTTCAACTTGCACAAGGAAATGAGATTTTTTATTGATGATTGAGTATAATGCAGCATCCACCATCTCTACTTCATTTCCATCTTTGCAGGCAACTCTCTTAGATTGCATCAACTTAGAAACCAAAGACCATCTGTTCATCTTTGATGCCAACTTTGGTCCAGCTAGAAAGGACAACAAGGATTCAATGGTGCTATATGTGACCACTTCTGCCTCTTTTAATAAACTGACAATCTCTGAATTTTCATTGCTTTTTTGGGAACTTGTTCTTTCCATTCCCTTCAAGGCCTTGTGGATTGCCTTCTTCATCATCTTCCTTGAGTTCATATACTTTTGAACATCAACTACAATGTCATCTCCTCTTCTTCTGCGCAACGATGACTCGAGTTCATGTGCACATTCTTTCATCTGTGATATCATATCCTTAGCCATAGTACACAAATCCAAGAGCTTGAGAGATCCTTCTAGCAACTCATCAACTGATTTGTTGTCAACAATAGCTTGATGGGTGAGTGGCAAAAGAAGCAACTTCTCAATGCAATCATGCAAATCTTGAAGCCCATCAAGTTTTTGACACAAAGAAGAAGATGAAGAAGTGGCTTCAGAGGCCTTCAATCTGCAGAGATGTTCATCAACTTCATCCACAACTGGATGTGGCTTTGAAGGCAAACTGTTTGAACGGATGTGGAATGATTTCTGTGCGTTTGTAGCAAAGGAATCCATTTTTCTTTTACAAAAGAACAGCTAAAGCAGTTTCAACTTGACTTCCCTGTTTTGGCCTCAGAGGCCTATTTATATTGGCTGAGGGAGACATGAGGAATCTCAAGCTCATCTAATTATAATTAAGTAATTAATCTGCAGAAGCTAATAATTCAGCAATGTTCATGCCATGTCTCCCTCCCACCTCTTTTTTATCACCATTATTGATACTAATTTCTTTATAATCCATTGGATGTATCTGACACAAAAGCCATTTGTTCATAACTCATAGCTGTATTGAAATCGAGTGTCTCCTACATATACAAGGCCAATTGAGCTGTATAAAAATATAGAACCGAGTCGCTTCTGCAGAGGACAAGACTGTCGCTTTACACATGCAAATGTGTGAGAATCTTCTTCCTCCCAATGCATCGAATTGTAAAGGGTTTTCCCCTCTTTAGTCGCTTGCTCAATGCTTCTATTATCTACTTCATATTCTGCAATAGATTGCTGAATAGTCTGTGCATTATGAAAGACAAGAGTGCTGTTGACAGAGTTGGCATCTTACAGAAATGGTGCTGCCATATTTATTTTGTCATTTCCAGCTTTTTACATTTGATAAAATTACATTAAGACAGCCTTCCGTACTTTGAGGTCCTTGAATCAGGGAAGAATGGAGCCCTAAGGCATTTACCTATGGCTTTATGTAACGGTCCGAGTCCATCACTAACAGATATTGTCCTCTTTGGACTTTTCCTTTTGGACTTCACCTCAAGGGTTTTAAAATGCGTCTGCTAGGAAGAGGTTTCTATACCCTTTATAAAGAATGTTTCGTTCTCTTCCCCAACCGATGTGGAATCTCACATTTTAAGACATTTTTCCGTTTTGCTTTCTAATTTCTGCTAACAAAGAAGGGCAAGATCAGAAACGCTGACTCATGATGTGAATGAATTTTCTTGTCAGATAAGTAATGTAGGATAATAAGCATGATCGTTAAGGACAACGAGCCTTCCACAAATCTTCACAATGATATAATATTGTCTACTTTGGGATGGAAAAAAACTCTTGTTGGCTTTACTTTTAGTTTCACCCAAAAGCCTCCCACCAATACGGGTAATTGTGTTCACTTATGTGCCATGGATCTTTACCTTTCTTAGATAATGTAGAACTTTTGTTGCACCTAAAAATCTTACATTTGAGACAATTCCTCATCGAGACAATATTCATGTGAGATCTTACATTTGTTGGAGAGGAGAACGAAACATTCCTTATAGGGTGTGGAACCCTCCATAGTAGACGCGTTCTAAAACCGTGAAGCTAACAGCAATACGTAACAAACCAAAACGAACAATATCTGCTAGCGGTGGGCTTGGGTTGTTACAATCCAGGCACAAGCACATATCACACCCATTAACAAGAAGAGTTTATTTTTGCTCTTACGAAGGCGAGTTGGGAAACACCTAGATAGAGCACGACTTAGGCTTACTAGTTCTCTTTTCTCAAACTCAGAGCATTTCTAAACACGCAATTAGGTATAGACCATAGTTTTGATACCAATTGTTAAGGACAACAAAACTTCCACGTATTCTTGCAATGGTATGATACTCATGATTTCACCCAAAAAAAAAAAAAAAACCTCATACTAGTGAAAATAGTTATCCTTACACATATAACATGGCCTCTCCCTTCCATAGCCAATATGGTACTTACTTTTTCACCACAGATCTTCCACACTTCTAATCAACGCCAAGCTCTATTTGCATCCTCAACCTCAATAGCTCTTCACATAATAGCCATATGAAACACATCACCATGAGCAGTTAATACCAACCAACATCCATGGATTTTGTTGCATTAGATATAAGCAACTAACAATGATTCAAACAAACAAAGACTGATACATATAACCATGGCTGCTGTATTCCACAACCATCAACAGGATATACCATAGCTGCAGTGTCATATCTTTGTTGCTTCAGCCTCTGATCTTTGATGAACAGCCAACCAATGTTCATACAGACATTCCTTCATACCTCAACTACAAATATCCAACAGCCTGAGCGATCCAACAAACTGCAAGCTCTATAAGCTATCTCTGTGTTCTTCCCCTCTTTATTTGCTCAAATATATACCAGTTAGCAAGGGAGACGTTTAGAGGCTCATCTGCTTTGACTTTTCAGGAATTGGGTCTTGGATCTAGACACTGCTGGTGCAATGTTTCCTCTCTACCAAGTCCCCAACTCATATCTGTATTAAATTACACCTAAAAAATGATATATGTCTGCCACTGTGGGGGCATAATGAATAGTTTTCAATTTTGTATATCAAATTGGTAATCAATCTTGCATCATATCTCCACAATGTTCCTCGTGATGATATGCA